GCCCAGGATGCGCAGGCGTCTCCCCGTGCCCGCGCATCGATCCCCCGGGAGAGGCCCGCTGCACGCCCCCCAGGGCTGGCTTGCGCGCGGGGGCGCTGCCGTCTTCGTGCCCCCCCTGCGGGCGGACCTCATAGGAGGAGGAGGAGGAGGAGGAGGAGGAGGAGGAGAGGAGGAGGAGGAGGAGTAGGGGGAGGGAGGAGGAGAGAGGACGAGGAGGAGGAGAGGAGGAGGAGGAGGAGGAGAGGAGGAGGAGGAGGAGGGAGGGGGGGGAGGAGGGAAAGGAGGAGGGGAGGGAGGAGGAGGAGGAGGAGGAGGAGGAGGAGGAGGAGGGGGAGGAGGAGGAGGAGGAATATGCCTCATCGTCCTGGCCGAAGGAACGACGACTAAGGAACGAAGCCCCGTCTTTCCCAATGAATCACGCATCAGGAACGATACATAACAAATAGCGCATAAGGAACGATAGATAACGCTAGCCGCTCACTGTATGCCTCATCGTCTTGTTGATGCTCCTTCTTACCATTCCTCACTTCGCCCCCCCCCTCTGAGGGCCTGGTCGGCGTCGAACTCGTCGATCATGCCCCGCAGCTCGTCGTCTGTCAGCTTCTCTCCGAGATCGCGCGTGATGCGCTTCAGGTTTTTGAAGGAACCGCGGGCCCCAAACAGTGGGGAGAAACAGCGGACACTGACGCACGACATGCGGCCGCGTCTCGCCGGCCTTGCGCAATCGCCTGGGGGGCCCCTGCCTCCGTCGAGGTGGCTGCAGGATTCTCCACCGCACCGTCCAGTGGCCTCGGGCATGGGGAGGTGCCAGGCGGCAGAGAGAAGAAACGAGTGAGAGCGGAGTCTCTTCACTTTCGGCCCCACCGTCGGGCAAACGTCTCAGCTGTTCGCCCGTCATCTCTGGCCGACTTCGCGGCAATCGGCGTGCTCTGCTGGTGTCGCCCAGAAGAGCACGCTGCACCCAATGGTGCTGCAGAAACCCCTGGTCGGCAAAACCGGGTGTTTCACACGATGCCCTTGTTAGATGCTCGCTCGTGGGTCCTTCCCGGAGCCACTCGCTCCACTCGTACGTCGATGCTGCGTCGAGGTCAGTCGACTTGGGTGGAACTTCCGTCGAACGAGAGTCGAGGTAGAAACGAACGAAAGTCAAACTAGAATCTGACAGATCCGTAAGGTGTGCCCCAGGAAGGAGCCCCAAACGAGCGCCGAGAGTCTTGGGACAACGGAGATGGCGGAAAACGACCGCGCTGCCACGATCGTCCCGCAGGCCCGCAGGCCGAGCCACGAAAGGCACGGATGGCACCAAGAGCAGGCCGGACCCGCGTAATTACGTGCCAGCGAGACCTGCCACTTCCACCACGCGGTGCGCGCGAGCGTCGCTGGATATCTTGCCTCGCTTGTCCTCGTCGAAGAGCTCGAAGGCCTCGGCCCGCGCCCATGGCCACCGCTCCCCCCCCGCCTCCCGGCCACTCCTTCTCTGCGGGAAGCCGCGCGCCGGCCTCTCGCGCGTGCAGCGAGCGCGCTCGTGCCGAGTGGGCCGGAAGTGGGAGCATGTGCTGGAAACGCAGGCCACGAACTGGCTGCATAGTACACCCTGCGAAATGCTTAAGAAATCATGGGTTAAGAAATTCATAGTCTCAGAAATTGAATAAAACCCAGAACTTCTATCAAAATCTTGGGATTTACATTGGAAAGTTAAAAATAATCGAGACTCTGGCCGAAAATTTAAGTTTTCTTAGGCATCGCCTAGGGTGTGCAGCTCAGCGTGCGAGACCTTGCTGCGATGAATCTGCGATGACCAGGATGACCATGGTCATTCGCGCCGGCAGAGTTCGGACTCGTGAGTGCTGGCGTCTTTTTGTGACAATCGAGAAGGACGAGGGACATGACGGAGGTAGAGGAGTGATCGTAAGGTAAGTTGGAGAGTGGTCGACAGAGGAGCACGTATTGGATGGATGATGGAGGTCGACGAGGGAAAGGGGGGAGGTACAAGGAGAGGTGTGAGGGGAAAGGAGGGGGGTAGAGAAGTCAACTGGAAGAGTCATGAGCTGCGTGAGGGGTATTTGAAGTAAAACATGGGAGCGTAAGACTAACTATGATGGATCAAACAACTGGGGGTGCTACGTGAGGGAAACCAGGGCAAGTGGAACATAATCCCACCAACCCTTAGGCCGTGAGGGGTTTGGGGGATTCCTCTTCGAACCCCCTTCTTCCCCTTCCAGGAGGGGTTCACCACTCTCCCTACATACCCCCTCCCCCTGGGTTTGGCGGGGGGTTCGCGGTGTGGCAGAAAGTCTTTTCCTGACCACGGCGAGGAAGCCAAACCAAGACGCCTGCCACATGTTGGCCTCTGGGGGGCCCTGATGTACTACGGCCCATCTTTTGATCGATATCATCCAAGATGACCGACCCATGATTGCCCCCGAGGAGGAGGAGGAGGAGGAGGAGGAGGAGGAGGAGGAGGAGGAGGCCCTCAAGAGGCGCCCCAGGGGCCCCTAATAGTCCTGCAGGAGACCCCAGGAGACTCCCCAGGGGCACCCAAGACGCCACCAGAGACCTCGGCGAGATGGCCACATAGCACTGCTTTGACGAAGGTGTTCCATGTGTTGGCCTCCAGGGGGGAGGTCCGAATTGAGGAGCGCCCTTTTTTTGATCGATGTCCTCCAATATGGCCCCCGAGGCTCCCAAGGGTGACCCAGGAGGGCACAAAGAGTTCCCTAGGAGGCTCCAAGAGGCCCTCGAGAGGCCCCCCGACGCACCCAAAGAGGCTCCCAAGAGACTCCCAAGACGCCCCAAGAGACCTCCCAGAGGCACCTAAGACGTTCAAAAAAATCCTCGGAGGCCCAAATCACTGTTTTGACTAAGGTGTTGGCCAAATGTTGGCCTCCTGGGGGGAACCCTAAGTAAGGCGTCCCCCCCTTCCTTTGATCGATCTCTTCCACGATAACCCCAAACAAGCCCCCCCCACCCCCCCACCCCCCGAGGCTCCCAATGGGCACCCCAACGCGGCCCCGAGCGGTGCACAGAAGGCTCCAAGAGACCCCAGGTGGGGCCCCAGGGCACCCCCAACGGGCACCCAATAGACCCCAAGTAGCCCCAAGAGAGCCCCCAGAGGCACCCAAGACGACCCAGAGGCCCCTGGGACTGCCAGTCCCCCAAGGCGCCCAAAGAGGCATCCAACAGGCCTCTGGCATTTCTGCTCGCCCTCCTCCTCTTCCTCCTCCTCCTCCTCGCCCTCCTTTTCCTCCCCCCTCTCCTCCTCCTCCTCCTCATCCTCCACCTCCTCCTCCTCCACCTCCTCCCCCTCCTCCTCCTCCTCTCCTTCCTCCTCCTCCTACTCCTCCCCCTCCTCCTCCTCCCCCTCCTGCTCCTCCCCCTCCTCTCCTCTCCTCCTCCTCCTCCTCCTCCTCATCCGCCTGGTTCTCCTCCTTCCTCCCCCCCTCGCCTTGCTCCTCCTCCTCCTCCTCCTGTTCCTCATCCTCCTCCTCCTCCTGCTCTTCTCCTCCTACGAATCTTCCTCCATTTCCCCCCCTCTTGGGGTACGACGTCTCACCCAGCCCTCTGCCCCACTGCATGCTCCTCCACATCCTTGATCAGGGCAAGTCCTCTGGTCATCGTGTCTGGACGGGCTGGTGGGCTTACGCGAAACGTCTAGAGTATGTAACACACTCTGCAAGACGTGCCTGAAGCGCACCAAGTGGACCCCAAATCGGTTATGAGAGGCCCCCCAGACGGTTTCCGACAACAGGAGACAAGCAAAGAATGCCAGAAGACGGCCGAAGTACCCCCAAGAAACCCCCAAAGGCCTCCACAACTCATATCACACCAGCCCTGTGGGTTGAGGTGGTTTAGCGAGGTATGGTTTCTCTCTGCCAAACCTCCTCCATCCCGTGCTCGGGGGAGCGGTTTACCTCTCCCCGTACCCTCTCCCGTGGACCTAGGAGGAGAGGGAGGCCCGAGCGGCCAGCAACGCAAGAAGAAAGCGGAGAGGACGAACGGGCGTGAGTCGCAGTGCGCTGCTCTCTCTGCGCCGCTCATGCGGGGAAGGTGCCAGAGATGCCCGCCAGGCGCGCCGAACCAGCATCGTCTGCCACGGCAACTGGGGATACATCCGGATACTTAGAACGTCCAAGAGCGCTCTGACACGGAAGCGGGAGGAGCGATGCAGGAACTTGCCTGAGATGGCTCATGGCGCTCTTCGCTGGTGGGATGCTTGGTGTTAAAAGGCTGGTCACGTCACCGTTGACGCTTGGGAGCCGTGGCTTTAAAGTTTTGTTATGGTTACACCACCGTTCACGTTTTGGAGGCGCGGCTTTCAATGTTTTAACGTAGCCGCTCGCTCTTGGGAGCTTGGTTTGAAGAGCTTGTTATGTCACCGCTCGCTCTTGGGAGCCGTGGTGTGAAAAGCTTATGACTGAAGGCAGCGGCAACCACCTGCAGCATCTCCTGCCTGACACCCCGCAGGGGGAGGAGGAGGAGGAGGAGGAGGAGGAGGAGGAGGAGGAGGAGGAGGAGGGTCTAGACCGTTGGCGTCCCCTTTGAGAGATGACAGCGCTCATGGCGTGCCCGAGCGTATGCTGTGTGGTCCTCCTTGTTCATGGCATGCTCGGCGCTGCTGCCACTGGAGAGGCGCTGCTGCCTCCTCCTCGACCTCGCCCTCCTCTCCCATCTCTTGCTCGTCCTACTCCAGCGAATCCTTCTCGGCTCAACCTTCTATGTGGCAAGAGAGCTGGGCCTAGAACTATCCAGCGGGACAGGCCAGTCAGTAAACGATTTGCAGCCCCCGTGCAGGGCTCTCAGGCCAAGGATGAAAGGAGGGCCGTCCAGAAGAAAGGGAACATACAGAGAAGCGAAAAGTTCTTTGACCGTGCGACACGGGCACCACTCGAGCAACCATGAAGAATATCTACTACTAGAACCACGCGCGCGCTTCGCGCGCGCTTAGGTTCTAGCTAGGATCGCCGGGGGCCTCCTAGAAGCAGGTTCGAAGCAGTTTTTTTTGTGATGACGGCGGCTCCATGTGGTAATGCACGGTGCTCCCTGGCTGTCCTCGTGCGCACTTTTACACAGGCATCGAAGCGTGAAGGGGAGAAAGAGAAAGAGAGAGAGAGAGAGAGTGAGTGAGAACACTCTTGCTGTCAAAACTCCACCTCGACCTTGACAACAGCTCCCGTCACTAGGCGCTCATATGCGAGCGATTCTAGTGGCAGCAGGATCTGACTCCCTCGTTCCATCAACCAGCTGAACCACTGATCCTCCCTTCCCCCAGCAACAGCACCAGACAAATGTTACAAGCGATTCGTTCAAATACAGATCCCTTCTCAAAAGCAGAACGCGGCTCACAGCGCGCACTGGCAGCTAGGTACTATGCAAATTCAAGCCGACGCTGAAGCATATGCTGCACGTTGCTCGCAATGCCTCGCCAATGCAGACGATGGTCCGAGACAGCATGGCATCGCAACCTTCCCAAACGGCCGCCGAGGGAGTGGGCACAGTCAACCAGTTAGCCCCGCCGGGTCACAGCGTACACCTAGGTCGGGCGCTTGTGCCGGCGATAGTCTCTGTGAGAAGGGGAAGGTCTGATTTTTGATGACGGCGGATCCACGTCGCAGTGCAAGCTGCTCCCCAGCCGCCCTCTCATAGCTGCACAGGATCTTTTTCCCTCTTCCATTTACTCGCTGAATCGCTGATCCTCCCCCTTCCCCCACGAGCAGCACAAGCGGAATCTGACCGGCGAGTCGTTCAAATGCAACTCCCTTCTCAAGAACAAAACGTGGCGCACAGCGACCTGGCGCACGAGCAACAAGAAAAGATGCAAATTCAAACCGACGCGGGAACTTATACTCAACGTTGCTTGCAATGCCTCGCCAATGCAGAATTTCGTCCGTGACAGCACGGTATCGCAACCCCTCCAAACGGCCGCCGAACGAGTGAGGCCGGTCGACATGCAGGCCCCGCCGAGTCACAGCGTACCAGCGCTGGCGCCAGCGATGGTCCCTGTGAGAAGGGGCAGCTTAAGTGGTTGACGACGGCGGATCAATGTCGCAATCCGGGCTGCTCCCTGGCCGCCCTCTATGTGCGCAATAACAGCGGATTGAAGCGCGCGTGAGAGAGATCCGCTTGGAAATCACTAAGCGCTCATATGCGAGCGAATCGGGTTGCAGCAGCATGATCTTCCTCCCCACTCCTCCAAATGCCCGCCGAAAGCTGATCCTCCCATTCCCCACAGGCAGCACTATCAGAATTGCACGAACGATTCTTTCACATTCGATTCGCTTCGTATTGACCAACACAACGGCTCATACAATAGTGGGCAACAGGTTCGAAGCATTTTGGGGGCCGATTTGGGGCTTCTCGGGGCCTCCTTTGAGCCTCTTGGGGGTCTCCTGGGGCCTCTTGAGGGGCCTCCTGGGGGCCTCCTGGCGGCCTCTTGGGGCGGAAGCCTCGAGCTTGCGTTTCGTGGTCCCCCTCTGGGCCCCCTCTTGGGCCCCCTCTTGGGGCCCTCTTGGGCCATCTTGGGCGCCTCTTGGGCCGTCTTGGGGCCCTCTTGGGCTGTCCTGGGGCCTTCTTGGAAGCTTCTTGGGGCGGTCTTGGGGCGGTCTTGGGCGCCTCTTGGGCCGTCCTGTAACGTCGGAAAACCCAAAAGGCAACTTTGTGAAAAATTTACGTTTTACGAAGGGAATGGGCCAATTGTTGCGTCTAGGGGCCCTCTTGGGACGCATGTTGGAAGCTTCTTCGGGCGTCTTGGGGGCGTCCTTGGACGTCTGGAGGCCATCTGCAGCATCTCGGAGCCCTCTTGAAGGCCTCTTGGAAGTTTCTTGGGCCGTCTTGGGCGCTTCTGGGGCCGTCTTGTCGGACCGGGGAGGCCTCCGGCAAGCCCCGACGAGCCTCCGAGGCCCCCGGAACCCGCATTTGTGGTCGGGGCGCCGGCCCTGGGCCCCCGGACCCGGTCCCCCGTTGTCTGTCTACTCAGCACTGCGCGATGCCAAGAAGAGCAGCTAGCGGACCCCTGCTCCGAAGTCTCAGTCGAGATCGCGGCGACGGCGACGATACTGAGGGCAGCCGAGGCGGCGACGGCGCGCCTGGGTGCAGGTGCCCATGCCTAAAAACTCGCCGTCGCACTTGCCTCCGTTCGAAGCCTCAGTGGTTTGGGTGCGCGTCCTGACCCTTGTCCCCTGGCACTTTGCCAGCTGATAGTAATGCCACGAGTGGTTCCAGTAGGGGTCATCCTTCTCGTAGTGGTGCCAGCTGCGGCGGCGGTGCCCCCACGGGTATGTGCAGCTCGTCCAGCTGCCCCAGGAGCCCCACACGCAGTTCACCGGCCCAGAGCTGTCGGTGGAGGCGGACGCCTGGTCAAGCATGCTACCTGCTGTCTTATTCTCCCCGGACTCCTCCTGCTCCTCTGGGTCCGGCTCCTGGTCCAGCTCCTGCTCCTCCGGTTGACCATCTTCTGGATCGTCACCATCGTCCGACGCTTCCTCATCGAATGCGTCTTCTGTTTCCTCGTCGTTGCCTTCCATCGAGTCTTCATGCACGCTTGCATCCACAAGGGACTCTTCGTCGTCATGCACCATCTCCCTTCCCTCGGCCATCATCGCGCCGTGAGGGTCGACTTCGACGCGTGTCTCAGCAGTACGTTCCGCCTTGCGTATCAAAGGCTTGCCGCCGATACTGCTGCTGCTGACACCAACCATGAGCAAGAACACAAACGCGATCACGAACTTTGACTTGGCCATGTAGACTCAGCTGTAGTCAAAGGGGCGCGGATCGCTCTAAACTGGATAGATTCTCCAAGCAACGCGCTGGAACCTTGAGCCAAAATGGGCTACGGACCGTTTTTGGGACGTCTTGGAGTCCGTTTGGGCCGTCTCGGAGCGTCTTGGACGCCTTGGATCGTCTTGGGGCTCTCTGGGGGGCTCCCTGGGGCTCTCTTTGGGAGCTTCTGGGGCCCTCTTGGAGCTCTCTTGGGGCCGTCTTGAGCTCTCGAAGGCCGATTGGGGGTCATCTTGGGCCGTCTTGGGGTTCTCTTGGGCGGTCTTGTGGCCCTCTTGGGGACCGCTGCGGACGTCCTGGGCCGATTTAGGGAGCCTCCTGGCGTGTCCAGGACCGCGTAACAAAAGAACAAGCGGATATGGTAAAATGTACATTTTCCATTGGAATTTGATAATTGTTGCCTCTTTGGCGTTCTCTCCGGGCGCTGTCGGAGCGTGTTTGGAGCCTCTTGGGCCGTCTTGGAGCCACCTTCGGACGTCTTCGGGGCCTCTTGGACCGTCTCGGGAGCAACTGAGGCCGTCTTGGAGCCCTCGTGGACCCCTCTTGGGAATATCGTGGGCCTCCGGGGCCGATGTTCGAAGGATGTCCCGAGAGAAACGGGCTTTTTTGAAATCCGCCGACGCCCGGCCGAAGTGCAGCGCGGAGCCTCACATAAAGAATTCTTTGAGAAAAACGGTCCACGCTCCTCGTTCCTCGTACGCGCTTCCCGTCATCCGCCGACCCCCGCTTCTCGGGGGTGAGAAGGCGTGTGAGATGAGTGGCCGTTCCCCCTCCCCCTTTCCCCCCTCCCCCAGGGCCCAACATCTCGTTTAGGGGGAATATTCGGGCTCCATGGCGCAGTCCTGGAGACTCCGTCGCTTCCAAATCTGCCTCCCGTGGTCCAACAGGTGTCCCAAGACGATCCCGAACTGCCGAACGATTGGCCCTGGACGCCTACGATGGCTCCAGGACGCCCCAAGACGCCTTTTCCAAGAGGGCCCCGGCAAGCAAAATCGAGGGCTCCCCATAGGTTTGCGTTGTTTCTTGGGTCCTCGTCTTCTCGAGCTTCTGACGCTCCCAGACGGCCCAAGAGGCTCCGTAGACCGCCCCAAGACCGCCGAATAGACCCCTATGTGGGCCCCGAGACAGCCCAAGGGGGTTCCAAGACGGCACAAAGAAGGTGCCCCAGACGGCCAAAGGTCGCCCCAAGAAAGCCCCAAGAGGCTCCCCGAAGGCCCCAAGAAGCTCCGAAGTGACCCCTCAGAGGCCCCCCACTTAAGCCTAAAGAGGCCCCAAAGAGGCCCAAACGAGACCCCGCAATGGCCCCGACAAAAAGCTTCAAGACTGCCTTCAAGAGGCTTCACCAGGACCCCAAACAGCACCGATGACGTTTCAAAACAGGCTCAAAGAGACCCACGAGAGACATCGGCCACGTGGTCATGTACACGAACCATGCCATCACAATTGAAAAAATTGGAGCCCCACACAAAGCAGCTCGAAATAATCGTTCCCTGCTGTCCTCGTCCTCCCTTCCTCCTCCTCCTCCTCCTCGTCCTCCTCCTGCTCCTCCTCCTCCTCCTCCTCCTGCGCCTCCTCCTGCTGCTCCTGCTCCTGCTCCTCCTCCTCCTTCTACTCCTCCTGCTCCTGCTCCTGCTCCTGCTCCTGCTCCTGCTCCTGCTATTGCTTCTGCTCCTGCTCCTGCCCCTGCTCCTGCTCCTGCCCCTGCTCCTGTGTCTGCCCCTGCTCCTGCTCCTGCTCCTCCTCCTCTTCCTCCTCCTTCTCCTCCTTATCATCCTCTTCCTCATGCGCAAGGCTCGACATAAGCGTTCCCTCCTCCTCCTCCTCCTCCTCCTGCTCCTGCTGCTGCTCCTGAAACTGCTCCTGCTCCTGCTCCCCCTCCTCTTCTTCCTCCTCCAGCTCCTCCTGCTCCTGCTCCTGCTTCTGCTCCTGCTACCCCTCTTTCTCCTGCTGCACATCCTCATCCTCATCGTTCGTCTGCCTCTTCTCCTCCTCCTCCTCCTCCTCCTCCTCCTCCTCATGCTCAAGACTCGACCTAATCGCTACCTGCTGTCCTCATCCCCCATTTCTTGAGCAACGGGAATGGCAGGGGAGACTGGCGCCTGCGAAACGTCGGAATACGCAGATGGGCACCTGCCATCGTCGCCTCTCGACGCCAGTGATGGAGCGGCACACACGGGTGAGGGCAAACGGGGACCGTAGCGTCCCACCTCTGAACTAAGACTAAGAAGGGGCCTGAACCTGTCGGGAGCCTCTGAACCTGTCGGGGGCCTCCTGGAAGCAGGTTCGAAGCATTTTGGGGGCCGATTTGGGGCTTCTCGGGGCCTCCTTTGGGCCTCTTGGGGGTCTCCTGGGGCCTCTTGAGGGGCCTCCTGGGGGTCCCACCTCTGAACAAAGACCAAGAAGAGGGGCCTGCGATTCAGGCGATGGAGCAGAGGCCGAGCGCGTGCCTGCGCGCTGTGAAGTGTTGCAGGTGCCAGGACGGCTCCTCAGATATCTGAATCCCGAACAGCTCCGCAAGGCCAAGCACCAACAGCAACAACACCAGCAACAACAACACCAACAACAACACCATCAACAACAGCAACAACAACAACAACAGCAACAACAACAACCGCAACAACACCAACAATAACATCAACAGCAGTCACAACCACAACCACAACAACAGCATCAACGACTGCAGCAACCACAACAACACCACCAGCAACAATCACAACCACAACACAACCAGCAACAATCAACATCAACATCAACAACAACAACAACAACAACCACAACAACAACAGCAGCAGCAGCAGCAACAACAGCAGCAATGGCAATCAGTGTACCCTCATGCTCGATGTTTCCACACGAAGCATGCGACCATCATGGTAACAATCCACATTCTGGAGGACTCGTGTTCTATAGCGGGGTCCGTTATTCCCATTCCCAGATCTCCCGCCCAATGAGGTCTTGCAAATACCTCCCCCGAAAAAAATCAACATATCCCGCCTCGAAAACACATGCCCGCGCCTTGCTGCGCCGATGCGAGACCGCCTGTGGAACCCCAGCGAAGGGTAAAGCACAAGGAAGAATCGAACGACAGGATTGCCTTAGTGGGGATGGGGACTGTCGGCGGTGAGGCAAGGATCTGACCCTGAATAGAAAGGGGGAAGTCTCGAGCAGGGCTGCTGTTGCTGGCGGGAGCGGCGCCAATGCTGACGAGAGTAGGGCGCCAGTCCAGCGTAAAACAAAACGAAGTCTCGAGCGGGAACGCTGGTTTGTTGGGACGGCGGCTTTCGGCGGCGAGGAGGAACACCGCCTTGAGTAAGAAAGGAGGAGGCATCGAGCGGGAGCCGTGGTTTTGTCGGGACGGGGGCTGTCGGCGACGAGGAACAGCACCGTCCCGAGGAAACAGAAAGGAAATCTCGAGCGGGAGCGTTGCTCGTGCTGGGAGCGGCGCCACTCCAAAAGAGAAATGGGCGCCAGCCCAACCAAAAACGGAAAGAAGTCTCGGGCGGGAGCGCTGGTTTTGTCGGGGCGGCAGATTTCGGCGGCGAGGAGGAACAGCGCCTTGAGTGAGAAGGGAGGAAACATCGAGCGGGATCCGTGGTTTTGTCGGGACGGGGGTTGTCGGCGGCGAGGAACAGCACCGTCTTCAGGAAAAACGGAGGAAATCTCGAGCGGGAGCGTTGTTCTTGCTGGGAGCGGCGCCATTTCAAAAAAGAGTTGGGCGCCAGCCCAGCGTAAAACGGAAGGACGTCTCGAGCGGGAGCGCTGGTTTTGTCGGGGCGGCGGTTTTCGGCGGCGAGGAACAGCACCGTGTTCAGGAAAAACGGAGGACATCTCGAGCGGGAGCGTTGTTCTTGCTGGGGGCGGCGCCGATGAGAGAAAGACTGGCGCGCCAGCCCAGCGTAAAACGGGAGGAAGTCTCGAGCGGGAGCGCTGGTTGTGTTAGGACGGCGGCTTTTCGGCGGCAAGCAAGAACACCAGCCCTGAGTAAAAAAGGAAAAACACTCGAGCGGGAGCATTGTTGTTGTTGGCGGGCCGGTTTGGGCGGTCCCCCAAACCACTCGAGCATGAGCCTCATGTTCAATGAAAATGTAGCCGGCGCCTCAGCGAGAGCGTCAGGGCGCCTTTAAGGGGTCCAACAATAATAATTGTTTCGTAATTACCATTCAACAACAACAACAACAACAACAACAACAACAACAACACCACCACCACCACCACCACCACCAACAACAACAACAACAAACCCCACAACAATAACAACAACACTCATTGTAAGACTGTTCGTTCTTATCTGCTCGAGTGTCCGTTGACGCGTGGTTCCCAAACCCTCGATACCCGCCCTCTTCGTCTTCGATCGTACCCTTTTTGGGGGGTATACTTTTCTTCCCTGCAGGCCGGGCCCCGGCAAGCGGCGGGGCGGCCGCGGACCGTCGGCCTGGCCAGCGGCAGCGCTGATCGGCGGCAACCCGACCCCAAGGGGACCGACCACGACGACGACGACGATGAAGACGATGACGATGACGACGACGACGAGCGAACGCGAGAGAGAGAACGTCAGCAGGGCCACGAAAGGCACGAAGTAGGCCACGAAGGGCGACAGCGGGGACACGAAGGGAATGCTTACGGGGCCACGAAGAGCGCGAACGAGCGGGGGCCACGAAGGGCAGGTAACGGGGCCACTGAGGGCAGCAACGGGGCCACGTAGGACAGCGAGGGGGCCACAACGGGCGACAGCGGGGCCACGAAGGGCATGCATATGGGGCCACGACGGGCGCGAACGAGCAGGGGCCACGAAGGGCATACGTATATTGGGCCGCGGAGGGCAAGGACGGGGCCACTGAGGGCAGCAACGGGGCCACGAAGGGCAGCGAGGGGGCCACGAAGGGCGACAGCGGGGCCGTGAAGGGCATGCATATGGGGCCACGACGGGCGCGGACGAGCGGGGGCCACGAAGGGCATACATATATGGGACCACGAAGTGCAGCGAGGGGGCCACGAAGGGCTGCAAAGGGGCAACGAAGGATAGCGAGGGGGCCACGAAGGGCTGCGAGGGGGCCACGAAGGGCAGCGAGGGGGCCACGAAGGGCTGC